TAATATTATTTTTGTCATATATCATGATTTTAAGTGTTTTAAGTTTAATGTAACTAATGTTTAAAACAAATAATTTTTTTTTTTATAGTTACGCTATCATATAGTTAACTATGCTATGACATGTGCATTGCACGTGCGTCTTACTAGTATCAATAAAAGGTGTAAAGAGATTTTTTCAAGTAGCATAGTCCTATACCAATATAATGTCTCACAATTGAGAAGCCAGAGGCCGGTGATGGCACGGCAACGCAGAAACGGAGTGGGTTTGGGGGACCTATTTGCACTTCTTGAAAATGTTAAGGATCCATCTGAAATTTTGCCAAATAGAAATAACATTTAACCTCAAAAGCACTTCAATTAGATTTGCGCCTCTGTGCCTCTGTGCTTATATCTCGCCCATCCTTTGTAAGAAAAATGAGGGTTATGTTGAACTACATTATCTCTTTAGCAGGGCATCAACACCTAATCATATATGCCCTGTCTTTTTTTAAAAAGAATAAAGAGACCTTCAAACGTAAAGTATAGAAAATAAGCTTTGAATCAAATCTTTTAATATTATTTTTGTCACGTATAATCATTTTAAGTATTTTAAGTTTAATGTAACTAATGTTTAAGACAAATAAATTTTTTTTTTATAGTTACGCTATCATATAGTTAACTATGCTATGGCACGTGCATTGCACGTGCGTCTTACTAGTATCAATAAAAGGTGTAAAGAAAATTTTACGAGTAGCATAGTCCTATACCAATATAATGTCTCACAATTGAGAAGCCAGGGGCCGGTGATGGCACGGCAACGCAGAAACGGAGTGGGTTGGGGGACCTATTTGCACTTCTTGAAAAAGTTAAGGATCCATCTGAAATTTTGCCAAATAGAAATAACATTAACCTCAATAGCACTTCAATTAGATTTGCGCCTCTCTGCTTATATCTCGCCCATCCTTTGTATCCTCCCTACGGTACTCTCATTGTCTACCTTGTGTCGAAGGTAACTTCTTTTTCTCTTCCATTTCTTTACTTGATTTGGATTTTTCCGTTTCTGCAATGAATTTGGCGCTATTTTTAGTTTTTCGGTTATTAGGGATTTAGTTGTTGATTTTCTACCCCTTTTTTGAATTTTTCTTATTTGTTTAAGTTCCATGGATGGTAGTTTAATTGAAGATCAAAAAGTTAATATTGTGACTTCCGGTATTTTGAATAGCTGAGTTGTACCTCACGAGTCTGCTCAGGGATGTACAGCAAAAGAGCAACGCTTGTCACCTTCAACTCTCTCAGAAGCTTGTTGAAGTTATGTGATACAAGATCCCGTTTTTGTGTGGAATCGATAAAGCCCCTTTCTTTTGCTAGGAACCTCAGCACTGCTACTGAAAGATCGGATTTTTACAATGCTAATTATGTGAATGGAGATGATTTTAACCAAGTTATTGGGTTTAATGAGGTCGTGTCAGATGGTTCGGGAACTTTAAAGAAACATCAAAGTGAAGTTTATGGACAGAGCGGTTTAGAATCCGTGAGTGGGAAGTTGCAGCAGAGTTCAAATGGTTATGGAATGTTGCAAGGTGGTTTGGACTCCATGAATGGGCTGTCTCAGCAGAGATCAAGTGGTTTCTATGGGGGACAATATGGAATGTCGCAGCAGAATTCAAGAGGCCATTATGCTGGAAGCACAGGAATTTTTCAAGGCGGTTTTGATTCCATGAGTGGGCAGTCTCAGCAGAGCTCGAGTGGTTTCTATGGGGGACAATATGAAATATCGGAGCAAAATTCAGGAGGCTACTACGCTGGAAACACAGGATTTAACCAGCAGAGCGTACATAATGCCAGAGCGTATCAGCAAAATGAAAGCGAAGTTAATTACTTTAATGCACGAAACTATTGGCAGAATCAGAATGACTCCCAGAACAGAGGAATGGTTGCTTCTCAAATAACAAATGATTTAAAACAGAACGAGAAGTTGGTTGAAGTTGCTGATATCAAGAAGCTCGATGAATTCTGCAAAGAGGGAAAAGTAAAAGAAGCAGTAAAACATTTAGGGTTGCTAGAGCAACAGCATGTCCCAGTTGATTTTTCTCGATATGTAATGTTGAAGAAGGCATGTTTTGAGAATAAATCTTTACAAGAGGTTAAATTTGTTAGTGAGTACTTCATTAAATCAACAACAAATCCCTTAGGATTGCTCGATGGATTCTGCAAAGAGGGAAAACTAAAAGAAGCAGTAGAACTTTTAGAATTGCTAGAGCTGCAGCATTTCCCAGTTGATTTGCCTCGATATGTAATGTTGATGGAGGCATGTGGTGAGAATAAAGCTTTAGAAGAGGCCAAATATGTTCACGAGCACCTCATGAGATCAATACCAAATCTTGAAGTCAAAACAAATAATAAGATTCTTGAGATGTATTCCAAATGTGGTGCCATGAATGATGCCTTTGTGGTCTTTGATCAAATGCCAAAACGTAACCTGACTTCTTGGGAAATCATGATAACTTGGCTTGTTAATAATGGTTTTGGTGAAGCTTCTATTGAATTGTTTACAGAATTCAAAAGATGTGGACTAAAACCTGATGGCCAAATGTTTATTAAGGTATTTTCTGTTTGTGGTATCATAGGTGACATTGTTGAAGGAATGTTGCACTTCGAATCAATGAGCAAGGATTACAGAATTTCTCCCTCCATGGAGCATTATGTTAGTGTAGTGGCCATGTTAGGAAGTGCAGGATGCTTGGATGAAGCTTTGGAGTTCATTGAACAGATGCCTATCGAGCCAGGTATAGAAATTTGGGAGACATTAATGAATTTTTGCAGAATTCATGGACATAAGGTGCTTGGAGACCGTTGTGCCGAGCTTGTTGAGCTCCTTGATCCGTTACGATTGGATGATCAATCAAGGGCAGGCCTCATATCAATAAAAGCTTCTGACCTTGAAGGGGAGAAAAAGAAATTGAGTAATCGAAATCCTCTAGATGTTAGGAGTACAGTCTTTGAGTATAGAGCGGGTGACCGATCTCACCCTAATCATGAACATATATACACACTGCTTGGAGGGCTGAAGAATCATATGAAAGCTATTGGTTATATACCGGATACTAGATTTGTGCTCCATGACGTTGACCAAGAAACAAAGGAGGAAGCTCTTATGGCTCATAGCGAGAGACTTGCTACTGCCCAAGCTTTAATGAATTCTCCAGCTCGATCCCAATTGCGAATAATTAAGAATCTTCGTGTTTGTGGTGATTGCCATAATGCTCTGAAGATCATCTCAACAATAGTTGGTAGGCTAATCATTGCTCGAGATGCCAAGAGATTTCACCATTTTGAAGATGGAAAATGTAGTTGTAATGATTATTGGTGAAGTAGGCCAACTTTAAGGTATTTTATTTTTTCCTCTCCAATATTGAGACATGCGGGATTTAATCTATTTTTCCATATAATAGATGATATCTTCTGTAGTTTCTGGTGTGATACCAAACTGTCTTTGTGTATGTGTACCACTCCTCACTCGATTATGTGGAAGAAATTACATTATTTATCTTTTCTAGGAACACCCTGTTCACAAAATAAAGAATTAAATAGATAATTAGTTTGTTGGGGGTGGTGGTGTGAAGAAAGATTTTTGGGATTGCATCAACTAGACACAAGATTGGATGAGGAGTTGAATACAAACTTTGATATACCCTTATGATTATTGGACGGGGAAATTATCTAAAAATAATATGAAATGTGTACTGACAAGATCAAGATTGTAATTCATTTATCCATAAACTGATGAGCAAATGAATAAACTTTATATTTTTGCTTATTATGAATTTAGAATAATATCTGTGAATACAGACATAAGATGTCACACATTCATTTGCGAATTCAGAAACATGTCGTACATAATTTATGTTTTATTGTGGAGCATAGCTGAGACATTGTCCCCACTCATGTACGTATTTGGCAGTGGCCGTAATGGTATAGCTCAGAATCATAGTGCACATGGAATTTGATGATGTTGGTGCTGGTAAGGTGCTTGTCGACCACTAGCGTTCGCCTTGTTGATTAGGGGCACATGATGGTATCGCTTTATGGCATTAAGAAGTTGAGCGCTCGATGTACAATAGTGTGTGCCGTAAGGCCCATAGAGGGTAAAACATGGCTTTCTCGACATTTCATGCCTCACATTTCGTTCATACATCATATTTTGCTCCCTAAACATGTGGTTTGTTTGAGCTCTCAGGTACTATTACTTAGAGGACCATGCTTGATGTACACATTGGTGTACACTCACATGGGGGTGGGGCCCACGATTGTGGGTCCCACGCGTGCCCCACGCTCATGTGAGTGGGTTATGGTGTACATTCAGCATTATCCATTACTTAGATGACATGAGATTATGGTACATTGAGGTCAAACTGTAGATAATGAGTTTTTCGATATTATAAAAGTCACATTTATTTCTATAAATAAGATAATAGCTTATTAATTTTAGATTTATAGAGTGTTTGTTTTTTATTTGAAATCAATTATCATTATTTATTTCTATAAATAAGATAATAGCTTATTAATTTTAGATTTATAGAGTGTTTGTTTTTTATTTGAAATCAATTATCATTTTCAACCACACATTTTTCAATAAAATAACATTTTCCATCACATCAATAAATTTTCCTTCTTTTTCAACCACACATTCTCCATCAATCTACTATTCCAAAATATATTCTTCCGAAATAATATCCATCAAACACGAGAATATTTGACACTATAATTGATCTAAATAAACAAAACTAATAAAAAAAAGGTTCAACTACACATTCTTTAATAAAATAATATTTTCCATCACATCAATAATTTTTTTTTCTTTTTCAACCACACATTTCCCATCATATTACTATTCAAAAATCAATTATTCCCCAAAAAATCCCTACCAAACAAGCTCTAAATGAGTTTCTCCAGAATTTTGTTGACGTGAATATTTATATGAGATAATCTTGTACGGTTATAGCTATAGCTTTCCTTATGACGAGATCTGTTGCAGTTTCCGTTATGATATCAAATTGACTTTTTAAATGGAGAAAGGAACTGTAAGATTATATGGGGCTGGGATTGTCAAGAATTAATGAAAAACCCATAGGATAAAATTAACAAAACTCCAGTTATTATAATGCATGTGGACTAGTAGACAGAAACTAGACTGCAAACCCATAAGTACATAAAAGAAAAAAAATTAAGGTTTGTCTTAAAATATAGAATCACATGCATATTCATTTCTGCACACCATCACTTTCTGATATGGATCTTGAAGAAACATTCCTCTTTCTTGTTTAAGCCCACCAGTAAACAAGTACCGAAAACACAAGGATAATGGAGGGGAAGAGGATGTTTTTTGGTAGTAAAATCCCAGCATCACTCATGTCAGTGTTGATGCCTGAAGGACCCAAGCCATTGCTACCGCCACCTAGTATGCCAGTGGAAGGAGTTGTCACAACAGGCGAACCGCCACTGGGCAGGCTGGTGGAAGGTGTATTAGTTGTGGTTGATACTGGCGTGGTGGCACCGCTGAAACGAATAAATGACAGTCACTCGGAAGATTCAGACCAAAACATAGTAAAGTTATGACACAGTGAATGATTCTAGGCAGTAATTGTGCACATTAATAATCAAATGATTAGATAATTAAATCTGTGATACTCAACACAGGCCAGGGAGGGTAAATTTGCATATTTCCTCGTTCTCTTTCTCGACAAATTTCAAGTCGACTCTTGAAATATTTTGATGCCACTCTATACAACTTAGCGTATATATTACAACTGTAGAATTGATTTAGTCCACGACCCCAATATACGTCTCTTATTTGCACTAGGTTCTGGTTAGAGGAACTCAGGCCGCACCGACTGTTTTGGGGCTGACACAGACATTTAGTTAAGCCATTTGTACGTCGAAAGTGTACATCAGTTTTGACATCATCCAAATTGGCATGATTTGATTGGTGAAAAAATTGTTTATTTTTTTAAATTGTCCAATAACATGTTACCACGTGACACAATGTAAAAATTGATGTACTTCTAGCATGATTCAAGTTGAGTTCTGGGCATGGACTGGCTCCTCTCATACAGCCAGCCAGCCAGCCATGCATAGTCTTATAAAAATCTCTACATATGCGTCTTCTACATATAATAATAGGCTGCTTCATGATGCTCGGCCCGGTCGTGGCCTTGGGCAGGACACATATGAACACCTCTAGATATGATGGAGAGGGGAAACAAATGATAGAATATCATGTAGGATTTAAAAAAAAAAAAATGTATGACCAACACAAATCTCAAGGGGTCTGGCGTCTGAAGGATTTCAAATGGACTTTTCAAAATTACACCCATTAATTCTAGTGCCAGCAAGATTGATTTGGTTCCTTCAATATGGACAGAAGGACAGGTCCAGTTGTCAGGGGCCATTATTTTTGAAATAGCCACCATAACTTTTTGACCTAAAAATCCTTTGAACTGCAAAAGAGTAAAAATGGGGTCCATCTATCCTTTTGACAAAGTGGCACAGTAAAACTCAATTATTTACCATCTAGAAGCAATAATATAGAAGCTTTGGATTCTGCTATTGCCAATTATTCCCCTAACGTTTTAACTTGGTAGTGCAATTATACCGCCAATAAATGAGCAATGGAGTCAAGGACACCATCATAAATAACATGAATAAAGCAAAAGGGTAGAATAAAAAAACTGAAAGAAGAGAGAATAGGGACTAATCCTGTCAAAAAATTTGATTTTCTCCTGCCAAGAGACTTGAGCATGTTTGGGTGACTTGCACTAAAAAATAAGCACCAAAACATGCTCTTAGTGCTAGTCCGTGCCATAGCTTTGGGAATGACGGAATGTGTGGATAATAAATTGGTAATGTCATAGGTCATACGATACATGTACTCATGTAGATCATGTTTAACTAGCTCAAATTCTAATTTAAACTTTACCAAACATGATTTTAGGTCAAAAAAGACAGTGTAGAGCCTGTAGGTTCGATATGTAGAATGACGGTAAAAAAGGGTTGAGTCAAGACAACTCGAAACCAGGTTGTGCAGAAGACTCGATTGGTTTACAATCTTAGTCAGAGAATTGAATGAGCGCCCTTAACATTCATCAACAGGTTAATGACAAAAAGAAGGTGAAAAAGAAGCCAATTCATTTCCAAATATGTTACTAAAACGATAAAGGCAAAAGAATATGATAGTAAATCAAAAGGATGAGATTGCAATGCTTGACAAAGTTGGCCACATCAAGAATAGGTTTGCTTTATAGGTTCTTTCTGAAAGGAAATCTAATATTTGACACTAATACATGATGAAACAGCTTCAATCCCCAAACAAAGCGTTAATCCATTGAAAATTAAACTAATAAATCCACAAATTACCGAACAAAACTGAACGTTGATAACACTAAAAGAGCAATTTAAGGTTAGAACTTAAGTAATGTCCACTCATTGTAGGGAGCAATTAGCACCTAGTTGATATTAGTACAACGATAAATTTGTAAAAAAAAATAAAATTAATTAATAAATTAAGCATTTCTCTTGGCACGTGTTCATCTTCTGAGAGATTGAGGGAAAAAATTTTGAAAAATACTTTTTCTATTTAAAAAGGCAGATTTGAAATGGAGTGGGGCCATCTTGCTCCAGAGCTCGAGTAAAGTCGTGTTTTTTAAATCCCCAAGGCAACAAAAGTCTCTCTAAACCATACAAAAACAGCACATTAATGTGTGTGGCTCCCATGAAAGACAACCTAGATTGTTTGCGCCCCCATTTATTCATCCAAAATGCATAATGGTATTTTGACGGAGAATGTATGTTTAAAAAATAAAAAATAAATAAATCATTTTAATTAAATTCTTGGATTTTCTTAATTAAAAAAATATAGACAAATAAATCATGTACTAGTAACTCTCATACCTTGCACTTGCAGGGTAAGAACAGCCAGATGAGCCTGTAAATCAACCCAAAGAGACAGTGAATAGCAGTAAAACTTTCTATGGTTAAAAACACTCCCAAGTCACAAAATTTACAGGCAAACTTCACTTTAATCACCTAAGTTTCATTTTTGTTCCCTTCATCCATATCCAGTAAATCGAATGTGGCAAACAAAAAAATAAACTGTTAGTTTATTAAAATGTCTAGTCATACTAGTGTGTTTAACAATGATTCTAACCCTATTGTGCTCAATGGTAATAAAACTTTTGAGCACATTCTCAGACACATACAGATGATGAGAATGAACGAGATTTTAACTTTCGTTTTCTTTTATAATATTCTGCACTGTCAAGTCGAGTAGAGTCCATCTAAACAAACATGTCATTACGATCTGTAGATACTTACTGGGATCAGATGTGACTGTGTAGGCAGTGCCTGAAAAATCACAGGCTGTTGGGGTTTGGCCTTTCTTTTGGAAATAACTGTTGACAGCATAGTTGCAGTGAGCCCTCACAGTATTTGGGTTGAAACAAGGTCCATTTTGGTGGGTGGGATTGCAATCAGCCCCTGCACCACATGCATAATCCAGTGCTTTTTGCAAGGCTTGATCACTCAATCCCTCCTTGCAAATGCACCAAGTTGCACCTACCAAAATACCACAATAAATGAGAAGAAATTTAAACAATAAGGGCATGTTTGACTAAGCTTTTTTCTTAAGATACAATTTGAGGATCCTACAACCCAAAAAAATAAAATAAAAGAGAAGATAATCAAAAGATCCATATGCATTCATATCCACCCATGTGCAGGCAAATTTAAGAAGTAAATTAGAGGATAATCAAGAATGCTTTGCAGTACCCCATTTTGTTTCAAAAAAAAATCTCATCTTATGAAACTATTTTTTTTCCCTTAATGCATTAGATCTTATGCATATTTAAGCCTTAGAAAATAGTAAAAAAAAAAGGACAGAAATTGCAGTTGAAAATGCTTACTTGAATGAGCAGCCATGGCTAAAATGAGAAAAAGAACCAGAACCAAAAATCTAGCCATGAGAAAAGGGATATTGAGAACAAGAAAATGGTGAGAAGATAGAGGATTGTAAAAAGACTGTTGCAACTTGGAAATAGAAGATGAGATGAGGGAAAGAGTAGTGTGTGTTCTATGTGTCAATGTGAGAGAGAGAGAGAGATAAAAGGGTATATTGAATTTTGAATATGGTGAATGCTAGTGGTACGAAGGTGGCCCAGGCTGGTACTTCTTGTTTTTTTGAATTTGGTGCTTCTCTCGTTTAATTTTTGTTCTTATTATTATTATTATTATAACTTTTAAATTTAAGATAAAAGTAAATTCCTCTTTGTTATTTTCAGGTAACTTGGAACTCAAGTGCTACAAAAATAAAATGTTGATGTTGGAAGTGTAGATGTACTTCACCATACAGGTGTTGACCTGTGAGTTAACTCTGATGACCAAAGTACAATACAAGATGAAGATATGGTAATTGGCATCTTGATGAGAATCAGACTGCATTGAATTATTTGGATAAATGGAATCAAGCAGCGAGCAAGAAAGACCGACAGGAGGGATTGGAATAAGGATTATACTACTTTGCCATTAAATTTCACATCAAGTTTCACACATTTTTGTCATTTTGTATAAGTATTGTCTATTTTACCCTTATCTCTATATTTTAATTGTTTTCCGCATTTTCCCCTTTAATTGGTATCAGAGCCTAGTAACGAACCTAAAGAAAATTTTTAAAATGAATAGAAAAGATAAAATGATTTTAGAAGAATTACAAAATATTAGTATTTTAACTAATACTAATCGAATTAAATTACAAGAATTAGCAACAAATTTAAGTATTAAATATAAATATCTAAGTGAAGAAATAAAACAAGTAAATAGTCCTCAACATTTAGCAGAAATAAAAAATAAAGGATTACAAATATTAGTAGATGAATTTTCTGAAAAAGAAGAAGAAGATATTATTATAAATCAATTTTTGAAACAATATGATAATTTTGCTCAACCTTTAGGAGAAACAGATATTNACAGTAAATCAATTCTCATTTTCAACCACACATTTTTCAATAAAATAATATTTTCCATCACATCAATACTTTTTTCTTCTTTTTCAACCACACATTTCCCATCATATCACTATTCAAAAATCAATTATTCCCCAAAAATCCCTACCAAACACACTCTATGTTTGCATTCAAAATAATTGATATTTGGTTCACAAAAAGTAATGGGTCCAAGTGCTTATAAGCTAATACAAGCACACCCAAACATGCGTGAAATAGTGATGCAGAGATGTAATTAGAGATGGGGTATCAAATGGTATAGTCCGAGTATTTTAAGAATTGGATCGAACTTTTGAAAAACGGGATTATAAACCAATTAGCCAAGTAAACTGGGTACTATACGATGAGTTTAATTTACCAGAAACAAATCAGAAGTTAAAATCATTTTTTCTAGTTAAAGAAAAAATATAACAAGAAGTTAAAAATCTTATGCACTTTGTTTCAAATTTCAAGCAAAACTTCAATTTTTTTTTTTTTTTGAGCTCGTTTGAAATGTGAATGCAGAACCGGTACCCAGGATTTTGACTTCGTGTAAAATTAAAAAGAGTGCCCTATTTCAAATTTACAAAAAGTTTTAAAAAAATAAACAAATATATAAAAATTAAAGATATTATATTAATTACCAATTGCCATGATAAAAAAGTATAAATATCACATATATCCGGTGTCTAGTAATTGTGAGACTTTGTGCAGTCGCACCACCTACACACCCTCAAGATCGGGCTTTTGAACATTCAACCAATTTTGATTTATGTGATTTGGGTGGGATTCTGAAATGTCTCGGTGCAAAGTTTTTTGCTTGTGTAACTTGGTGCATGATCCAATATTTTTTCAAAAGAGAAAAATATTGGGTAAATTAGTTATTCAGTTCTAGCCATGAAAATCGACTCGAAGTTCAGATGAACCAACCTGAGTTGGTCGATTTGAAATCACTAGTTTGGGTTAACCCAAAATGACTTTGGGCTTCATCGAGCCTAACTAAATATCAAGGGGTACTTACAAAAATACCTTTAAAATTATGGATGTTTTCAAAAATCATATGAAAAGTTTTTAGAAAATAAAAAAATACTGTGTAAAATGAAAAAGTGACACAATGTCACTTTTTTTATAAGAAGTTTTTTTATAAAAATTGTCACTTTTTCACTTTTTAAAAAAAGTGACAACAATTTAAAAATGTGACAAAACACCAATTAAACCATTGAAATCCGTTCCATTAAGTAACTAAGCTTTTCATTTAAGTCAATTAAATCAACATCGTTGAGAGATTCTTAAATCTCAATTCTACAAAATTACCACGTTCTATCACTTTTTAAATTAAATTTGTCACTTTTTTGAATTTTTATCATTTTTTAATTTATGTCAGAGTATTTGTCATTTCTTTAATTTCTGGCACTTTTTTTTTTAGTGTTTGTCACTTTTTAAATTACCAAGTATCTACAAATGAGAAATTTAACTTAACCTATAAAGCAAAACAACCCCAAAAATTATTTTTGCATCCGATTTCCATAAATTGCAATTCAAGAGTAGAGAAAAATAAAATCAGATCTGGACCATAATTCGCTTAATGGATTTGGATTTTGACATGAAAAGATGAGATTTCAGGGATTCATAGCTGAATCCTCCACGAATTATTCCCTGCAAGTACCCAAACCTGACACCTATACTGCATCCGAATCCAATGCCCAACACCATTTTGAGGTGGTTCCATGGCGAACCATCGAACCTGGCTCCGCCTGCTATTCTCATTCCCAGTCCAATGCCGCATCCAATTCCGGCTCCGATTCCAGGACCCAGAATTGAATCTCGACCAAAGCTAAACCATTTGTTCTTTCTTTATCCCCCAGACTCCATTACAAGATTCGGAGATAAAAAATAATAAAATCTAATTTCACATAATTTCCCAAAAAAATCACAAATCCACTGACAAAGCAAGCTGAGCAGACGTTGAAGGAGAATAAAGCAAATAGTTTTCGGCAAGTTGAATACATACAGATACATAAAGGAGAAGAAAGAAAACAGTCTTTCACGAATCAACGACTCTTTTTCCTCCAAAACCTAAGGCGACGAAGTATGAAATTCTTCGGGTTTGAATTCAGATTCGGGTGCAGCAGTTCTGGAAGTTCTGGAAATTGGGAGCTTTTTTGGGTTTTTGTAGCTGGTTTTGATAGTTTTAGAGCGTATTAAATATGTGATTAAATCATTTAATAAGTTAATAGGGTATTAATCAAATTAGTAAACTTTTCAGGGTATTGGACCTAATTTTCTCAAGTGTCAATAGGTATTGACATGAAATAGCACTATGGGTTGTTTGGAAGATGGACTGCTCCTTTGGGCAGTGATTGAGTGGGTGGGGCTACCTTTCATGGATCCCAAATTATTAATTAGTGAAAATTAGGCCGTGTACTTATTTTATAAAAGGAAATTGAATTATACTGGCGTTTAAAAATAAATTGTTAAATAATGGTTCCTATATGAATTTTTTAGAATTTTACTTTTTGAATATATTTATTTTATATCTTAATGTTGTTATTCGTAAGATATCCTCAAAATTAGAACGAAGGGAGTTTTCTTCCAACATTTTGCGGCCATAGCAGCCGATTGTCAGTGGATCTAGCTAGTTGAATAAAAATGGTAATTATTAATGAAAATAAGTTAATACTCATTTTGATACTTTGAAAACGTTTTATAATTCTATCATTATCAATATCATTAGATGAATTTTGCTACTTGTATAGTTTTGTTTACCATTTCGTTGACAGATGTTGAACTGATGGCGAATAAATCAAATTGAATGTAGGAAGTAAATAAATTGTAATAAAATTCATATTTAGACCCCGTTTGGCCCCTTTTCTTTCAATTTTTTATGTTTTGAATAATGATTTTTTGGAAAATGAGTGATTAAAAAATAATAATTTACGTATAATATTATTTTATGAAAGATTGTGTGATTGAAAATAAGATAGAAAAGAAAAAATGAGAATGAGAAAGGGTGCCAAACGAGGGTTTAATTTATGAAGTAAATGAAATTTAAATTTAATGCAAAAGTAATTCAAATTATATTTAATCTCTAACGATCCTAAAAATTTTAACGTTATATTTCATGTAAAATTTTCTAATAAAATGATGTAAATTATATTCAAAATTTATCATGTACAAATAATAAACGTCAATGAAATAATTGAAATTTTTTAAAGAAAAGATAAGATAAACGACTCTTTTAAGACGTACGTTTGACGTATATTTAATTCTTTTCGATATCCGTTTGAACTATACAATATGACTATGACGTAGTTCTCGAAATGCACTTCTAGATGATGTATGCGATTTGTGGATTCAAATACTATACGATAATCGGCAAAAATTGAAAGTTAGTATATTATCAAAAATTTTGAAATATTAGTTCGGAACGGCCTACTTTGATACGTCGTAACTTTTGTTACAATTGATCGTTTCGCATGCCATTAACAAGTGAAGAAATTAGACCATGAGCACTTTTAAATGGTATTAAAAATGTAATATTTTGACTTTATTTGACATCCCATAATAAGTGCAACAAAGTAGATCGTAAAGGGATCAAAACAACTATCTCCTAAAAAAGAAAGGTAAAAAGTTTGTGAGGTCATTTGACCCCACATGAACCCATGTGGGTGCGCCCCGATAACATGATAGCTCGTGGATCATGGTCCAATGGATTTTATGGAGGAAGCGGCATTGGGGTCGTAGATGCGAAGGTGATGGGCAGTAGTCAGCCAAAGGGGAGGCATGAGTGTCGGTGGTTATGGAAAGAAGTGCTGGTGATCAATGCTGACATCGACGAAATATGGTGATGGTATTTCTTAGGGTTGAACAACGAAACCGTCAAACCGAACCAAAACCCTTTTTTTTTAAAACCGTTGGTTTGGATCCACGTGAATCTTTGGTTTTGAACCGAACCAAACCGCTTTGGAGGGGTTTGGTTTAGGTTTTAATTTTTGCAAACCGTTTCAAACCGCCAAATCGCTAACAAAAAAAATCAATTTTAAATTTAAATTTTATTCAACCCAATTAAAACCAAGTGCGTCCTAATTAAAAGATACCTTCGTATTTGACACAATCCAATTAAATTCAATACACAACTTAACTAAATGCCCAATTAGATAATTACTCATCGCAACTTTAAAATTTAAATCCAATCCTTAATCATTTATATGTGCGTGGTACTTTCAATTAATTTCTAGGTTATTTCTCCCCCTTTCAAACTCTAACAATAAAGGTACGTGAATTTCTACTGTTTATAGTTTTATATATTGATTCTTTATTTTAATTCATGTTCATGTACGGTGTTGTATTTGTTAGTTTTCTACATATTTTTTCAATTTCTTTTTGCATTGACTTGAATAATGGAAAAAAAATATTTTGGCATTTTTGCTGCTATTCTAGGGTTTCAAGATTTGTTTTTCCTTCAAGATTTGTATTGATTTAGATGATTAATTAGAACTTTTTTCAAGATTTTTTTTTCTTTCAAAAAATAATTGCACAAAATAATATTTTTTTGTATATTAATTTTGCACAGAATTGCACAAAATAATGCAGTTAGTGACGGCAATGTTTTTCGCACACAATACATTATTTTTGTTTATTAATTTTGTATAACATGATTGATTAATTTTTTTATATAACATTGTATATTAACTTTGAGGTTATGTTGCATAATATGATTTTATATTTTTTTTTTATATAGATAATCAAATATGAATTCGATTTTAGAAGAACAAAGTAATCATGAGATCGGAGATAAAATTCCAATAAATAGTGAAATTGTAAATATGCAACAAAGTGTGAAGGGTTAGAAGGGATACAAAAGGTTTGATGTGTGAACTCATTTTGATATAAAGAAGGATGTGACTGTAGAATGAATTTATTGTGGACAAATATATAAGCATCAATCTAAGGTGGGACTAGTACATTGTGAAATCATATTGAGAATTTGTGCAAGAAGTATCCATATAGGTTTCAAGACAAAAAGCAAAAGACATTGAATTTCTATGGTAATTCTAAAAATGATGAGGTTTTAGAGAGTGTTGGTAATGGTGGACAACTTGTTACGTTTACTCAGAAAGGGGTGAGAGAATGGATTACTAAGTACTTTATATTATCTGAGTTACATTTTCGACACGTGGAAAATGAAGGTTTTCGGCGTTATACAAGGTATTTTTTTCCAACTTTTGATTTTCCTTCAATGATTATAGTTGCTAGGGATATATATCATTTGTTTCTTGATGAGAAGAAGAAATTGAGGAACCAGGTTTGTTTGACTACTGATTGTTGGACATCTATACAAAATGTAAGTTANTGATTGTTGGACATCTATACAAAATGTAAGTTATTTGTGTTGGATTGCTCATTTGGTTGACGATGATTGGACACTTCAAAAATGAATCATAAGTTTCATCCAAGTCCCTGCCATAAGGGTGATATAGTAAGAAAGGAATTGATATCTTGCCTTCAGGATTGGGGAATTAATAAGATTTTATGTGTGGCAGTTGATAATGCCTCATCTAATGACGTAGCAATAATGAAATTGAAGAGTGGTTTTCTAGAGAAGATGAAATGTCTATTTCTTGGGGGAGAAGTGTTTCATATGAAATGTTGTGCTCACATTTTCAATCTTATAGTTTGTGATGGTATAAAAGAAATGAGCAATGCTATTTCATCTATCTGCAATGTTGTACGGTATGCTAAATCTTCCCCAACACAACTAAAAAGATTTCGAGAGAGCTGGAAGAATGCAAATACCGAGTCTCGAGGTTTATTGTGTTTGGATGTATCAACTATATGGAATTCCACCTACATGATGTTACAGACTACAATAAAATCTAAAAAAAATTTGATATTTTGGAAAGTGATGCAAACTATACAAGTACTTTGATAAATAAAGATCTAATAGGAAAAATATAGATGGACTACCAACACAAGCCCATTGGACCAAGCTGGAGCATTTGTCAGATTCTTGAATACTTTTTATGATATGGCATTGAAAATTAGTGGCTCTTTATATGTAACGTTAAACACTTTCTTTTAAGAAATATGAGAAATTCATGGGGAGTTGAAAGAATTAGCTAAAGAGCCAAATGGTATGATATGATCCATGGCGGTTAGCATGAGAAGAAAATATGATAAGTATTGTGGTAATCTTGAAAAAGTTTAATCAATTGCTGTTTATAGCAACGGTCTTGACCCAGATGCAAGTTGGAATTGCTTAAAGTTGGGTTTGAACTAATTAATAATGTACAAATTGCAAACATGTTGTTAGAGAAAGTTGAAAACACTCTTTATAGGTTATATGAATTCTTTAAGGAAATGTTGACTCCATCATAGTTTGAACTTATTTATGATGTACAAATTACAAATATGTTAAAAAAAGTTGAAAACGCACTTCATAAGTTATATGAATTCTATAAGGAAATGACGACTTCATCATTAGCCTCACCTAAGGATGCTACTCAACCTAGAAGCCAAAGTGCTTAACAAAGTACTTTGGGAATTTCCAAACCCATTTCCTCAATTTTTAAAGAAAGACTTATGGAGGAAGCTCAAGTTGAGAAGAATGATTTGATGGATTATTTAAATGATTGTTGTGAAGATTTGATCAATGATGATTTCGACATATTAATTTGGTGGAAATTGAATGAAAATAAGTACAAAATTTTAAGCTAGACTTGTGCAGGAAGCTCAAGTTGAAAAAAATGAGTTGATGGATTATTTAA